GGTGCTGAATTATTGCTTTCCTCTTACTCACTGGCCTTCTTAGGAGTGTGTTTTTGTTGTTTACAATGCTTCCCGTCACTGACACCACAACATATCTTACTGCACACATGCAATTTCCCGCATGGAAACTCCTAATAACTGGCACGGATGACGAACTGGTGTGTGTTATACACAAGACTGGTATTCTTGCCAACTTCCCCCCCTCCTGTGCAATACACAAATTTTGTACGTACTTTTGACAAAATTTTAAAATCATCAAAGCCTTTTGTTTTCACCATTATGGTCACGGTGACCAAGTCGTTAAGGCGTCTGTCCGTCTTTATCAGTAGCCCTCCACCTCTGGGTGGCAGGTTTGAAGCCTATCTGGGTCAGCCCCTGGTACTGTCAGTGTTTTTTTTCCTGAAACTCTGGCGTTTCTCCACCACCCAAACCTGGCACGTAATTAAATGACCTTGGCTGTTAATAGGACCATAAGCAACAAAAAAACTTAATTCTCACCATTGGCAATGATGACACCCAAGAGTACAAGCCCTGTCTAATCTAGTTATGTACAGTTTATATTTGTGTAGTGTTGTTCTCATTTTAAAACTTTCATACTCTATGTCAGACTTGAAATATTTGAGTACGCATTTAAGTTCAGTATAAAGTTGTAGAATAAACAACACAATGATTGATGTCTAAATCTATATACACTCTCTCATAAAAACCTGTATATAATTATACAACTGTAAAGGAAGAATCTAAGAAAGAAAGAAAAAATTTAAGTTATATGATAAAAATCAGTTATGGGTTTACTAAAATATTTGTAATATCTTTATTTCAGTATATTTTTATGCAAACTGCTGTTAAGTTTCATTTGGCGTTTACTTTTTCTTCATCAGATTAATGAGATTGAATGAGAATCTGAACAATACTGCCTTCTCAAACCAAGATGAAAAAAAGCAAAGACAAGGATTTGTGTCGATACAACGTACCTAACACTGACTTGTCAAACTTAGATAAAAAAAGGCAAAGACAAGGATTTGACACAATGTACTTTTACAAGAAATGTAATTCACAATCACAGATAATTTAATTCACAGTATCAATATATTTTTTTGTGTAAAATTAAATGAAAAGACAAGTTGATCAAACTTGTGATTGCTTTCAATGTTTCAGTTGGTTTTCAAGACAAAAAGTGAATGTAAAACCCATTAAATAACAAGACTGCCCTCACCCACTGAAACGACGAAAGGTTGTAATAGTGGACGTGAAACCCATTAAATAACAAGACTGCCCTCACCCACTGAAAGGACGAAAGGTTGTTAAAGTGAACGTAAAACTCATTAAATAACAAGACTGCCCTCACCCACTGAAAGGACAAAATGTTGTAATAGTGGACGTGAAACCCATTAAATAACAAGACTGCCCTCACCCACTGAAAGCACAAAATGTTGTAATAGTGGATGTGAAACCCATTAAATAACAAGACTGCCCTCACCCACTGAAAGGACGAAAGGTTGAAAGCGTAAAACCCATTAAATGTGCCCTCACCCACTGAAAGGACAAAATGTTGTATTAGTGGATGTGAAACCCATTAAATAACAAAACCCATTAAATAACAAGACTGCCCTCACCCACTGAAAGGACGAAAGGTTGTTAAAGTGAACGTAAAACCCATTAAATAACAAGACTGCCCTCACCCACTGAAAGGACAAAATGTTGTATTAGTGGATGTGAAACCCATTAAATAACAAGACTGCCCTCACCCACTGAAAGGACGAAAGGTTGTTAAAGTGAATGTAAAACCCATTAAATAACAAGACTGCCCTCACCCACTGAAAGGACGAAGGGTTGTTAAAGTGAACGTAAAACCCATTAAATAACAAGACTGCCCTCACCCACTGAAAGGACAAAAGATTGTAATAGTGGACGTGAAACCCATTAAATAACAAGACTGCCCTCACCCACTGAAAGGACAAAAGGTTGTAATAGTGGACGTGAAACCCATTAAATAACAAGACTGCCCTCACCCACTGAAAGGACAAAAGGTTGTAATAGTGGACGTGAAACCCATTAAATAACAAGACTGCCCTCACCCACTGAAAGCACAAAATGTTGTAATAGTGGATGTGAAACACATTAAATAACAAGACTGCCCTCACCCACTGAAAGGACGAAAGGTTGTTAAAGTGAATGTAAAACCCATTAAATAACAAGACTGCCCTCACCCACTGAAAGGACGAAAGGTTGTTAAAGTGAACGTAAAACCCATTAAATAACAAGACTGCCCTCACCCACTGAAAGGACAAAAGATTGTAATAGTGGACGTGAAACCCATTAAATAACAAGACTGCCCTCACCCACTGAAAGGACAAAAGGTTGTAATAGTGGATGTGAAACCCATTAAATAACAAGACTGCCCTCACCCACTGAAAGGACGAAAGGTTGTTAAAGTGAACGTAAAACCCATTAAATAACAAGACTGCCCTCACCCACTGAAAGGACAAAAGATTGTAATAGTGGACGTGAAACCCATTAAATAACAAGACTGCCCTCACCCACTGAAAGGACAAAAGGTTGTAATAGTGGACGTGAAACCCATTAAATAACAAGACTGCCCTCACCCACTGAAAGGACAAAAGGTTGTAATAGTGGACGTGAAACCCATTAAATAACAAGACTGCCCTCACCCAGTGAAAGGACAAAATGTTGTAATAGTGGATGTAAAACTCATTAAATACCAAGGCTGTCTTGTTATTCAGTGAATATAATAATGTCATATTTTCGCCTATTGCACATCATATTATAGCTTATTGAGACATCACTTTTGATAATGAAATGACGTCACACATTGATAGATTCGTTGTGACATAACAATTGTAACCACAGTATAGAACAGACAATAGTTTTATATTGAAATGTCTCACCAAAGGTTTGCTTAAATGAAACATTCTTAATTTTGTTTCATATATCAAAGAGAAACTTGTGTAAAAATCCCATGTATAAATAAAATTTAGAAAATAAGTACTAAGTATATGTTTATTGTTTAAGTAGTATTAGTCACTAGTTGAGTTAACATATTATAACGACACAATTCAATATTTCTATGGGACACTGTTCTTGTTACAGTGGTTGAAATGTTCATTGTTTCGCATAAAGCTTGAATCAAACAGGAAGTTTTTTTCATGGAAATCAAGGAATGGACAATGATCCTTTCTGTCACTATTATGTAACATTCATATTCTATAGTTTTTTATTTTAGTGCTTTTTGTAGTCAAGATATTGCCCTAAAATATGGTTGCACCCATTGCAGACTGTTCAGATACAAAGGAATATCTTGAATAGACCTGAAGTATACCACCTGCCCACCAAAAGCTGGAATATATTACAGAGGATTTCTACATATAGGGGTTTGCTGTATAGTAAAACACAAAATGACTCTGATATAATCAGAGAGACAAATTAATGAGTATTGCAAATCAAATAATCAAAATGGATTTTATAGACAAAAGGCAAAATACCGGTAAGTACAATTATAAATTTGAGATTCTTAACTAAATCATAAAGATAGAAACAGTGAGAGTATAAAACTCCAGCACATGTAGGCTTTAATATTCTGGTAAAAAGGAGTTTACGAAACCTTAAACATCAGCTGACTGTGCCAAGACTTGTGTAAGAATTTTATGGCATCAGAGAACATAAAATGATTATTAATATTCCTTCTTCAGCAATCAGATAATAGCATTTGTAGTAAAATATCACTTCTTTCAAATTTCATTACAGTATTTAACATTAGAGTAGCTTTAAGGAAGGACAACTCTGGTAGATATGACAGTAGGAAATTCTCACTTAGTTTAAGGAAGGCTAACTCTGGTAGATATAACAGTAGGACATTCTCACTTAGTTTAAGGAAGGCTAACTCTGGTAGATATGACAGTAGGAAATTCTCACTTAGTTTAAGGAAGGCTAACTCTGGTAGATATAACAGTAGGACATTCTCACTTAGTTTCAGGAAGGCTAACTCTGGTAGATATGACAGTAGGAAATTCTCACTTAGTTTAAGGAAGGACAACTCTAGTAGATATGACAGTAGAAAATTCTCACTTAGTTCAAAGAAGGAAGGACAACTCTGGTAGATATGACAGTAGGAAATTCTAACTTAGTTTAAGGAAGGACAACTCTAGTAGATATGACAGCAGAAAATTCTCACTTAGTTCAAAGAAGGAAGGACAACTCTGGTAGATATGACAGTAGAAAATTCTCACTTAGTTTAAGGAAGGACAACTCTGGTAGATATAACAGTAGGAAATTCTCACTTAGTTTAAGGAAGGACAACTCTGGTAGATATGACATTAGGAAATTCTCACTTAGTTTATGGAAGGACAACTCTGGTAGATATGACAGTAGGAAATTCTCACTTAACTGTAATGTATTGATCCAGGTTATTCTGAATCTGAACAGATCAATAATTTTTTATTTGAAAAGGTGTATCAGACGAGGATGCTAAATATACTGACCTTTAATAGTTGATAAGTAGACAGCATGAGTGACATACAGAGTATTTCAAATGAATTTTAAATTGATCAAGAAAAAATTATGAAAATTACGTTCCACAAAGAAAATAATAAAAATGGGGCAAAGCCACTATTGGCCGGGTTGCAGGATGAGTGCAATTTTATATATTATGCTCAAAACAACATTTCAGCCCATGAGAGGCAAAGGCGCCAGACTGTTGAAGATGACTAAGTTCCAAAGCCCGGAAAATCAAGAAAAAAAAAATTTGGTATGAATCCTAAATTAATAGGTGCACATCTTCAACATATATATAAACATCCTACAAAGTTTCAAGCTTCTACATCAAAACCTGTTGATTCTACAAAACTTTTCCCCACCCACCCCCCCGCCCAGCCACTGCCGGACATTCACCATACTATAACCCAGATTTGCACTATGTGCAACCCGACCAAAACTGAAATATATAACAGTGTATATGTGAGTGTTCTGTGTGTAACTTTATACTACAATTCTGTAGTGTAGGACTCTGTATGTGATTCACTAACTGGATCTATTGTTGAAGCAGGTTTGGAATTTGTTGTATCTACAAAAACTGGATCTGAAGTGTCCAATTGTATTTTTGTTATATTGACATCATCAGGTCTTGTTTCCACGGGTTCTGAAGTATATCCATTGTTGATTGTCCCTACTTTCGTAGAATCTTTAAAATCTATTGGCAAAGAATCTTTAGAAATTTCCGACATTCCCGTCTCTTGTGAGGAGAACTGACTTACAGGTCTACCGTTCGTTTCCTGTTCATTATCTGTTTCACTTACACGTCCTTTATTATAACACAGGTAGGCGATGACGGTCAGTATTGTTGTCACTGCTTTGGCCACAAGGACAATGGCTAATAGATTGTTACTCATTTTCTTGTTATCATAGAAAAAACAGGAACCTTTCTCGCCACATTTTGTGTTCCAGATTAAACAGGACAGATCTATCAGCCATCCAAACAGAATAGGACCAGGAATGAAACCTGAACAATGAAACAGAAAAATTATAAAAAAGGCATATTGAAGAGAAATGTGCTTATTTAGTAAGGACTAGTAAAAGGTGTATTGAGGTGAAAGGTTAGTTTAGTTAGGACTAGTAAAAGGTGTATTGAGGTGAAAGGTTAGTTTAGTTAGGACTAGTAAAAGGTGTATTGAGGTGAAAGGTTAGTTTAGTTAGGACTAGTAAAAGGTGTATTGAGGTGAAAGGTTAGTTTAGTTAGGACTAGTAAAAGGTGTATTGAGGTGAAAGGTTAGTTTAGTTGAAAGGTTAGTTTAGTTAGGACTAGTAAAAGGTGTATTGAGGTGAAAGGTTAGTTTAGTTAGGACTAGTAAAAGGTGTATTGAGGTGAAAGGTTAGTTTAGTTAGGACTAGTAAAAGGTGTATTGAGGTGAAAGGTAAGTTTAGTTAGGACTAGTAAAAGGTGTATTGAGGTGAAAGGTTAGTTTAGTTAGGACTAGGATCACAATCTCGAATTTATCCTGTATTATGACTATGCTTGGAAATAAACCCATCCATATTTATCTTTCTTTAATAACATTACTTTTACTTATTTCAAAGTCTTGTAATAAGCCCATTCATGTATGTTGTTCCTCAATAAACTTTCTAATGACTTTTTCATTGTTTTGTAAAAGGAGAACTAAGTTACCTGCTATATTTATCACATGATACGCCCACGGCACAAATATCAAAGCTTTTATTCAATCACTAAGTGGGTTGATTGTGGAACAATGAAGATCATTTTTAACATTTTTTATTACATAAGTATGGGCAGATTTAAACTTAATACTTACCAAGACACTTTGTGACACAAAGTTGAATTCCCAGAGCAAAGGACCGCTCGTCAGGGGGAACACACCTGTGGCAGGTAAATTATTTATTTTGATGAAACCAAAGAAATAACCGGGTATCATGATACACCATTTTTTTTAAGGAGATTTGGTTCATGTTTTTCTTCTCTGTGCAAAGTAAACATAGAATCCAAAATCTTTGATGAATAGGTTCTCATTATAAAAATTTAACCTGAAAGGTAATGATTAAAGTAAATATTTTCAAATTGTAACTGCATTCTTTCATACTCATCTACTGATAATTCTTATTTAATCTATAAATTTGTTAACAAGTCAGATAATTACAGTATTTTGTGCAAAATATTTCATCTCTATAGCATAAGGACTTCAATACCTTAGACTGGCAGTGAGAAACGGCATAGAGCTGAAAAATGTCAGCAACACAATGCCTAGTAATATAACCATAAACACAGGAAGGTAAGGACATTCTGGTTTACATTTGTTGAGCACTGCCTGGTAATCAGTCGTTCCATTTCCTACACATGTACAGTTGTAATATTGCTGAAATATATATTTAAGTCAGTATCAGAACTACGGAAAATGAGGTTCCCCACTTCTGTCTCACTGTCCACAGCCAAAGTCACCTTATATTTTGAGACACTGGCCATGCATTTTACTTATCCTGCAACACTGATTGAAAGTTGTTATCAGAGTGTCAATAAATGTTGTAAGAATGTTGTTTAACTGATGTTAATATTATGATGAATTTTGCCAGATGATATACCAAAATAATTGTTCTGTGCACAAATATAGAGTTCAACACTTCAACGGATATAACAGTAATATTACAGATTTTCACAAATAAACTTGTTCAGCACCACAAATAAAATTACTTATTTAAACATTTATTTATGTATTTCTAAATGTGATAATGAATTAATATTAGGAAGACATTCTATCCAGTTAATGCTAAAATACAGCTGTTTTCTGTTTACTCCAGTACACAGCAAAACCATAGGAGCTTACAGGATAATATTAGTTATGTAGTTTGCTAGTGACCCCCTACAGGAATATAGGGGTTCAGTCAGATTGGTAGGGGGTGAGGGCGAAGCCCGAATCCCCCTACCAATCTGACTGAACCCCTATATTCCTGTAGGGGGTCACTAGCAAACTACATAACAAATTTATTGCACCAAGGACCCATTTAAATATATATATAATACGTCCCATCACATTTCCTGGCATCCATGTAAAAATGGCCAAGACATTCGTCCAGTCGGACTACATTGTAATCTTCAAAATCTGGGTTTTGCTGCTTTTCCACCAAATAATCTTTGAACACTTTAGCGGCCAACTTATTAGCTTTTAACGTCTTATCAGCGTTAAGTGCCAGGCGTTTTTTTTCCTTGTCTGCAGCTGTCGTCTGCCCGAACCGCCCAGCCATTTTTGATCCGAGTCAAATAGGTGCTTCGTGTAGGGGAAACAACTCATACTAGATAATAGCAACTTCTAGGATTCACTTTAGCCAATATTCCGACACGGAACAGAATGTGAATATCGCCAATCTGTGATTTGAAATTACGAAGTGACGCCTTTCAGAGATAATGGATGGCGGCCATTGCCCCCTATATATTCAGCTGCCCCCTATAGATTTATAGGGGGCAAGCAACGTCCAATCAGATCAATGCATTCTAGTCCGAGGTGCAATAAATCGGTATAAAGTGGGCATAGTTTGTGGAAGAAATATATAGATCATAAACGTACCTCAATTTTATCATTTTTCATAATCCTCGGGTACAGTGTACAGTGTAGATATTAAGTAGAATAGGCGAAATGAATTACAAAGAATTCTGTAAGTTATTGTTACCAAATAATTGTGTAATTTTTAACTAGATATTTATTTTGATCCCGTCTTGTCTCTAGGTCTGTGATTACTGTAAAATCATATATTTTTGCGAGTTCAATTTTCAGAGTTACCATTTCGTAAAATTTTAATTTGTGGATAAGAAATGCTCTATAAATTTACTCATACTTAATGTAACTTATACTTAATGTAATTGTTAAGTGATTCACAAACGTGTATGAATTCATAGAATAAAGATTATTAACAAAATCGATGAAAATAAATCCCCACAAAAATTAACGATTCACCGGCATTTATATCATTGACCTCCACCTAGTGAAATGTAAACCTGACTCAATACTGACCAAATCCTCTCCATCCTTGACCATAGTCTGACAGCCAGCATAGCATGGTGAGTAATAAGTCAGTCCGTCACGACCACAGATAGGGCTGAACTCTTCCTGGCTACATCCACAGTTATTATGACAACTGTCCCCCACAAAACTTCCAAGGAATGATGTACTGAACAAAAAAAAAACTGATAGTTATCGTGGCTTAGGTGTTAATCACCAAATTTCTTGGAAAAAACATACGGAACATGAAAGAAATGTCAGCGTATAAACAGGAAAGGATAAACAAAGTAAAATATCAATAAAACAAAGACAAACTATGAACCAAGGAAACATTCAAATTATCACTCATTAAGGATTACAAAACCAGGTGTTCAGGAACGGAAGTGTCTTCCTTAGATCTATTACTTTATCATTTTTCCTTCTATGTCTTCAACTTTTGACTAAGTAAAACACACAAATTCATAAACTACTAGAATAACTAAAACTCAGTGATTGAGGCTAGCTATTTCTAAACAATCCCATATTTTTACCTTTTTACATCAGTACTTCCATAGAGAATATTGACTCCAGCCAAAGGAATGCTAGGACAGCTGATTATGAGGACGAGGCCAAAGAAAAAACTTCCTGCGACAGCAGCCATGGTCACCTGTAGTATTCTTTTGACATCCATGTCAAATCTCTTGATGATGTATCCTCCCAGTAGGGTACCGCCCGCTCCCCCGGGGACAGCAATAAAACCTACAAAGGAAATAAAACTTGGTCATCAGTCAGATGTAAATATATTTGTCTACAGTATTATGACTTGATCTGTTACTAAGTTTGATCATCAGTCAGATGTAAATATATTTGTCTACAGTATTATGACTTGATCTGTTACTAAGTTTGATCATCAGTCAGATGTAAATATATTTGTCTACAGTATTATGACTTGATCTGTTACTAAGTTTGATCATCAGTCAGATGTAAATATATTTGTCTACAGTATTATGACTTGATCTGTTACTAAGTTTGATCATCAGTCAGATGTAAATATATTTGTCTACAGTATTATGACTTGATCTGTTACTAAGTTTGATCATCAGTCAGATGTAAATATATTTGTCTACAGTATTATGACTTGATCTGTTACTAAGTTTGATCATCAGTCAGATGTAAATATATTTGTCTACAGTATTTGACTTGATCTGTTACTAAGTTTGATCATCAGTCAGATGTAAATATATTTGTCTACAGTATTTGACTTGATCTGTTACTAAGTTTGATCATCAGTCAGATGTAAATATATTTGTCTACAGTATTATGACTTGATCTGTTACTAAGTTTGATCATCAGTCAGATGTAAATATATTTGTCTACAGTATTATGACTTATTGTTTGATCTGTTACTAAGTGTCACTACCTATATGAAACAGGTTATATCAATTATTACACAGTTCTCTTGTTTTTGCTATAAATTTAACTATATACGGGAATTCTTGTCAAATTCTGGCAATTTTGTTTCCCCAAAGACTTTTGATTGTTATCAATTTATAACAAATTGTGTGAGCTTTAATTGATCACATTTGGTAGCCAGGAGGGAACATCTGAGTGGTGTTTGTAAGTAAACTAGGGTATATAGAGAGAATATGGCTATGAAAATTTTATGAATTTTTCTTAAATAAACTTGATCGTGACGACATATAAAATTGCTTACTTTCATCAGTTATTTATACCGTTAAATGTAATACTTCAGTAAATTAAGAAATTAATAATGTAGAATTTACACACTAGCTAGAATACAGCTATTTTCTGTATACAGCAAAATACAGCAAAAATATAACAAAAATACAGCAAAAATACAGCAACATACAACAAAATACAGCAAAAATACAGCAAAATACAGCAAAAATATGTGGCCGGCATATTACAACAATGTTAGTGCTAGATGCAGGGGAAGAGAACAAATCGGGTCAAGTGAGTGACTTTTTTTTAATGTCATCATCAACTATGCCATGTATAAAGAAATTGACTTACCAACATAGAGGGCAGCAGTGGAGGACGGCAGGCCAAACTGTATCTCTATAAACTTAGGGATGAAGGTTGAAATACCCACCAACAGTAATCCTTGAGAACAAAACGTAAACAGTATGCAGTGCAATACATTTCATTTTTATAAATATTATACATAAAAGAAAACATGGATTTGGATGAAAAAGAATTTCAACCTGGTGGGTTGAAAAATGTCTTTGTTACTATAAATAGATTTTGTTGTTGTCATATCATAGATCTCATATCCAATTGTCGTAAACCACATGCTTTTCCCTATACTCTATACAATCATAACATATACACCTACCATCTACTGCTGTACCTAAGCTCAGGAACACGTAGGTGGGATTAGTAATCAAGAGCTTAAGTGATTTCCAAACATTGATGAGACTGATTTTACGTGGCACATCATCTTGTGGTTTTTCCTTGTTTTTGTACACTTCCTTACGTCGTTCTGCCATGTACTGTGCTGAATCTGTTGAAAGACAAGATATCATTTTATTTATATATATTGATGTACAGGGTGGTCAGGAGGTACTGGGTGGTTGGGTGGCACAGGGTGGTTGGGTGGCACAGGGTGGTCAGGAGGTGCAGGGTGGTTGGGTGGCACAGGGTGGTCAGGTGGCACAGGGTGGTCGGGTGACGCAGGGTGATCAGGAGGTACAGGGTGGTTGGGTGGCACAGGGTGATCGAGTGGCACAGGGTGATTGGGTGGCACAGGATGATCGAGTGAGGCAGGGTGATCAGGAGGTACAGGGTGGTCAGGTGGCACAGGGTGGTCTGGTGGCACAGGGTGATCGAGTGACGCAGGGTGATCAGGAGGTGCAGGGTGGTCGGGGGGCATAGGGTGGTCTGGTGGCACAGGGTAATCCGAAGGTACAGGGTGGTTGGGTGGCACAGGGTGATCAAGTGACGCAGGGTGATCAGGAGGTGCAGGGTGGTCGGGTGGCACAGGGTGGCCTGGTGGCACAGGGTGATCGAGTGACGCAGGGTGATCAGGAGGTACAGGGTGGTCGGGTGGCACAGGGTGGTCTGGTGGCACAGGGTGATCGAGTGACGCAGGGTGATCAGGAGGTGCAGGGTGGTTGGGTGGCACAGGGTGGTTGGGTGGCACAGGGTGATTGGGTGGCACAGGATGATCGAGTGAGGCAGGGTGATCAGGAGGTACAGGGTGGTCGGGTGGCACAGGGTGGTCTGGTGGCACAGGGTGATCGAGTGACGCAGGGTGATCAGGAGGTGCAGGGTGGTCGGGTGGCATAGGGTGGTCTGGTGGCACAGGGTAATCCGAAGGTACAGGGTGGTTGGGTGGCACAGAGTGATTGGGTGGCACAGGGTGATCAAGTGACGCAGGGTGATCAGGAGGTGCAGGGTGGTCGGGTGGCACAGGGTGGCCTGGTGGCACAGGGTGATCGAGTGACGCAGGGTGATCAGGAGGTACAGGGTGGTCGGGTGGCACAGGGTGGTCTGGTGGCACAGGGTGATCGAGTGACGCAGGGTGATCAGGAGGTGCAGGGTGGTCGGGGGGCATAGGGTGGTCTGGTGGCACAGGGTAATCCGAAGGTACAGGGTGGTTGGGTGGCACAGGGTGATCAAGTGACGCAGGGTGATCAGGAGGTGCAGGGTGGTCGGGTGGCACAGGGTGGCCTGGTGGCACAGGGTGATCGAGTGACGCAGGGTGATCAGGAGGTACAGGGTGGTCGGGTGGCACAGGGTGGTCTGGTGGCACAGGGTGATCGAGTGACGCAGGGTGATCAGGAGGTGCAGGGTGGTTGGGTGGCACAGGGTTATTGGGTGGCACAGGGTGATCGAGTGACACAGGGTGATCAGGAGGTACAGGGTGGTCGGGTGGCACAGGGTGATTGGGTGGCACAGGGTGATCGAGTGATGCAGGGTGATCAGGAGGTGCAGGGTGGTTGGGTGGCATTGGTTCATTATTACAGTGATAACCTTCTCCTAAGCCAGTATTTGAACTTCCGTGTGACTTTTGTCCACGATTACTTTGTATGCCAATGAACAATAACAAAAATGTTACAAGTAAAACACTATGTTCTAGGGAATTAAATTTTGAATCAATTTGGTGTATATGTGGAAGGAATTTAATAAATGAATTTCCACAATCATATCAGAAAAATAGGGTAGATCAGTCCAGAAACATGTTTTATTTGCTATATATATTTTATTTAAAATAAAAATAAACTGTTGCCCCAGAAAATTGTAAACATACAAAATACACAATAAAATTACTTAATAAAACAAAACTCAATTTTGGGAAGGATAAAAGATACAGGGCAGATCGGGTTTGCAGAAACACTTTTTTTTTCAAACAAATAGTAAGAGGGCCATAACTACAGTAAAAGGAGAAAACCAGCAGTGCAAAAATAACACTTCCAGTAATCTGTATGAAATTAAAAGTGAATACAGTCTAAACTATGCAAAAGGCGTTGATCTGAAAAATTATGGGACTGATGGACAGACATAATGCCCAAAGACTTTTTTTACATCTTGTTGTTTTCAATATAACTGGGGAAAAAGTTGATCATTTAAAGAGAAATGGCCATTACTAAAAAAGACACAAGTCTATCACACATTTACTTCCTACATTGTGAGGAACTGTTTTTACAGCTGGGTAGACTGTAGCATTTAGTCATCACTTACTTGGTAGTACAGGTGGAAAGCCTGCTATGGGGATGGTGATGATGACAGCCAGCACTCCACACACTACAAAACCAACCCACCACGCCCCTACAAATCGGGAACTTGTGGAGTCAATCGTCACACTGCGAATACATGACAAAACATCTTAATTGATATTGAAATAACACTGATCACCTACACTACATCCACCTATGTTTTCTGATGACGTTGTCTTACATTCTATTGTACTGTTGTAAAATGACAACAAATCATTTCATCTTTGATGTTTCCTTGAGAATAAAAATGAAAAATAATCTATTAAAATTTATCTATGGATGGGAAAGTTCTAAAAACAGAAATAAGAAGCAAAAAGATAAATTTTTTCAACAAAACAAATACGATGTGGTATAACCATTATGTTGAAAGATTTGTTGTTATCGAATAGACAAACAATGACCACAAATCTTAGTGCCCACCATTGTTTGATCTTTATTTGTTCATTCAAAGTTAGAATTTTTCCCTTCATTTTTCTTCAGATCTCTGCTTGTGCTATTAATTATATGAATTTTGAAAATTCCACTTAACAAAAGTAGTATCTTTAACTGTCAAATCTAAGATGGCCACTTGTCAGCCATCTTGTTATTTTTATAAGTCCCAAAATTAAAAGAGCAAAACTGGGAAAAACAATATGAAATTTGCGAAAGCTCCTCCCTGTACTTCTCAAGAAATAGCAATAACAAGATTTCGTTACAGAGGACCACAGCCCAAGGGCAATACTAGTAGCCATTCATCTGACGATGGTGGGCTGATAATGAAATGTGATGAATTAACAAGACTCCATATAACAGAACTTTGTATATATCATCAATTATGTAGTACCCACAAAGGAATTGAAAAGATGTCCTGGGCAGAAATTACAAAATAAAGCACCAGTAATATTTTGTGATTTATGATACAAAATTCATGTCAAGATAGATCTCATGATTCAGGCTGTCAGACATAGAATATGACTAGTGCATGTCATCAGCTACTGAGGTACTTAACATACCTGTCCAAATCTACAACATTAAAATCCACGTAAACATCCAACAGCAAACCGCCCAATAGGAACCCAAGGGCTGGACCGAGGATACTGGCTCCATAATAGATACCTTCAAAAACAACAATACCTTAACATGTAAAATATTTGACACAAAGATAATTTACCATAAACATACACATTTTAGAATTAATCTTATTTAAGTACTTTTTGTGCTGAAAGTAATTGCTGTAAAATATCACTGTGCTATTTCTAGTTTCTTTATGCTGTTTTTAAAGTAATCATTGTGAACAGCAAATTAACCAAACTGACCACTCCTCTATTCTTATGGGGTTCTGACCAAATATTCATAAAAAAAATACAGTTCCTTTCACCCAGGGATGCTTCCAACCAAATATGGACAAAACTCTGTAAATTCTATAATTCTAAATTTCTTACATTGGGCTCCATCCCTGGAGGCCCAGACCCTATATTTGCACAAAATCTAATCCACTTTTCCCATGATACTATGGACAAAATTTGATCAAAATCCACACATTTGTTTATGACTCATAGTAATTTGTAGAACTAAATAAAGTTGACTGATGCTGCACCATGTCATAACACTCACAATAACTGGTCCGTCAGAACCAGTGAGATAAAAAGAATATCTGAAATACCTAGCTTTAATAACAATCTATTTCTATAGTCATTCAGAGAGAGCCAGGTGATTTAATATGTGCTGCAATTTTATTGATGTGTAATGTGTTTCAAAAAGAATGTCAACGATTCAATAGTTCTGTTTAAAGTTTGAGTTGTGTTTCATAAAGACAAGGTAATTACATATCCTTGTTTGATGTAATGATAGCCATTTTACATATACATCAGCATTTTATGTTTGTATTCATCAAAGTTAATATTTTACAAATCCTAGATTTGTGATACCGTATTCATCTGAAAATAAGCCCCCTTTTCATTTTTGCAGAATCATCAATTTTAGAATTGTAAACTTAAGGTAATTCACGAAACTTTGATACTAAACTTTCACACTAAGGAGAGGACTTACTTGAGGATAAATACGGTACTCAGCCACACTATGTATAGGCATCAAGTACAACCTGCTGTTTGATTTCAAAGCTTTACAGTGAAGTTGTTCGATAATACACTGAAGCTTTACGGTGAAGTTGAATGTGTACTTTTTTAATATGTTTACAAAATTGTAATTAATTAAAAGAGAGATTTTATATAAATTATCACCTGAAAGCTGTAATAAATACAACTTATCAGTTTCTAAACAACACAAATAATTGGTAAGAAGGTAATCTTTTTGGTAAACATACAATTTTTTTGAGGCAGAATCTCACAAGCAGATTACAATAAATTTATGACACAGAGAGATATTTACACATAAATGTTTTATTCTCCCTACCAACAGTGTATGTACACTGTTAAACACCTCCTGGTAAGAAAAGTACATCAAACAAATCTGAAGACCTATAAAAAACTCCAGGTTCTCTGTCAGGTGATATATAGAGTTTTACCAAGGTAGAATGAGGAAGATCGCACTGGCACACTCTCCTCAATGAAGGCCGTCGCCAAGGTGTACAGTGGAGTGGTCCCAGCTCCCATGAGGATCATAGAGGCATAGAACATGTACTGTAACAGAGGTCAAGGTAAACTTATAGTTATCTCAGGTCAAGGTCAACGTGCACTGAAAAAAGGTCAAGGTCAACATGTACATAACTGTATCAGAGGTCAAACTCAACATGAACATAACTGTATCAGAGGTCAAGGTCAACATGTACATCACTGTATCAGAGGTCAAGATCAACATGTACATAACTGTACTAGAGGTCAAAGTCAACATGTTCTGTATAACAAAAGTCAGGTCCAAACATATCTGTAACATAAAGTCAAGGTCAATGTGTAGAGTTAAACAGGTGAAGGTTCACATACTTTTAAAAAATTTAGAACAGCAATTATCTGTATATTCTGTAAAAGTATTCAAGGTCAACATGTATGTAATGCACTAGGTCAAGGTCAAATTCACAGAAAAAAAATTACCTCAACTACAAAATCAATGATATTTGTAATAAATCACGTATGAGCTTCCGGTGTTGATGTTTTTAAGAAGAAATACATTGAAATGTTTTACAACCAGTAGGCTATATGAAGCAGTACCTGTTTGTCTGTGCTACTTTTCATTGTATATACTTTACATGTACATTTCTCTATGTATTGTTGACTTGTAACTTTTTATTGTCTTATTAAACTTGTACATACATAGGTCAACACTCAACAGAAGGGCCATATTGTAAACTAGATTTTATCTAAATATACCAACCCTGTCTAAATAAAAGATAATATTATCATATTCACATAAATCAATTTTACTCTCAGCAACACCATATTTATATCCTACAATGTGTTCCAACATATGTTTTATTACACAAATCAGATAGGCTGGTTGTGGGTAAATGAAGAACAGGTTCTTCCTTACTACACTCACATTTATGCAATTTTGGTGGCCATGGACTCCACTATAAAAGATTTAGTGAGACAGGGAAAATCCTGGCAATAGCATTGGTTATAACCTTACTACAGGTAAACCAAAACCTATCTGGTTGGGATTTATTACAAAGATTTGGCCTGTAGTTTTACGGTAGGTACCCAGTAAGGACTTATTATCAGATAAATACCTTGTAGTTCGACAATGTCGTAATGTGGTCCCCAACACATGACGATGTGGCAGAACTTCCCAGCATACATAACCCACCGTAATCTATTCCCGAGTTGTACAACCCAGACAGAAAGTGAGGAAAAGCAAACAGGATACAGGAAAGTCCAAAGAGTAAAAATCCAAGGCCAATGTAACGTGGTTTTGATCCGAGACCTCCAAAATAGCTGACTGGAAGGATGAGAATGGCAGAGGAAATATCATACGCACTAGCCACTAGTCCTGACTCAGCACTAGTCAGATCATAACGTCTTTCAATGGAAGATATTACCACATTTACAAATCCACTGACGGCCATCATCTGGAATAAATAATCAAAGTCAGTTTATATCTTAAAGTTAAAATATTTTGAATTGTTTTGACCAGTAACAAACATCACATAGACAACAGACATTTTTTAGAATTTTTTTTATCATGATATGAAATTGACATATAATAATTTTTCATAGCTATGTAATGAGTTGTAGTAGAATGACATAGAGATTATCATTACCAGTTTCACACTGAAGGCACCACCTTTGCTATTTGTGATAATACAGCATCTCTACTTGGTGGTTTTATTTACAAGACTGTACAACATCATCTTAATATTGTAGCATCTGTTGTATAACAAGGCACTGCAAGCAATACAAATCCATTCGTGATTCAGCTATGAATAATTTGCTATAAAGATGGCAAAAAATGGGCAAATGGCAGAAAATGGGCAAAATTGCTTAAGGAATGCTGACAAGTCATGGTGACCTTGCCCCTGGGATTCTGAAATATGAATTCATCTGTGAAGTTTTTTTGAAATTCTTTATGAATATAGCTGCAAGTGTGCTGAGCAGCCTAACATCCCTGTATCTCCTCCATGACACAATCTTTCCAAGGATCTCATATATCTAGGACACCATTACTTATACTGCCCTCAAGACGAAGCATTTGCTAGCATGTTAACTTACAAGTTCAACAGGAGATGTAGGTGGGCTTATTACTAAGCATACATGAGTTTACTGCTTGATAAACACAGCTTTGAAATTTATTGAGATGGAAACAGAAAAATGTTATAGAAAGAAGATGGCTGGATTGATTTCAGGGAGGTGGAATTTATTACGTCTATACCTGGAAATATATTCAGAATATTAATTTATGCAAATACCCAGGTAATCACAAGTTTACCTAGTATTGGATGAAATTTTATCAAAACAACAAACCAAGTAACACGAACTATGCTATTTTATCTCTAACTTCTCGTATCCTTTATATTTTCATCATGTAAACAACTTCGTGAACATCTGACGTTGTTTAAAAGTATCAGGTAACCCTGGATTTTATTGTAAGGCAGAAAAACATGTTTATTAACGTTTTATTGGTCTAATAAAAAAGTCATCGATATACATTTCATTTACAGTGATATTTTACTGGTGACATACAGGTACAACGTTTTTAACCATGGGCCTTAATACTCCATATTGTCAAAATTTTCAATATCTATTACAAAAATTACAGGTCTGGTGAGTAAATCTTTTCATATTCTATCACTAAGATTATATTTCCTCTAGATATATATTTAGCTTGTCATTAAATTTGCTCACCACAATCTGATTATAATCGTAACCAGTTTATCATACAGAAACCCACCATCTGACAATGATGAGACTGCCGGTTAATGAAAAGCTAGGAGTAAAATTTCAACAAAATGTTAAAAAAATATTGACTTTATTTATTTGACAACAATAAACTTTATTAAAATTACATTAATTGCTCTTCTCGGCCCAGATGAAAGAGTGTGAGGTGTTTAACTGTGGGAGGAAATCAGAGTATAACCCACAGAACACCTATGTGATCAAGTCGCCCCATACCTTCTCTCGTCTGTCCCAGGACAGAGGAATCGAACTTTGGACATCCTGATGAACAATTTAGTAATCAGGAAAATAACTGAAAATTCATCTTTAGCCATAGGCATTCTCTTAGCAACCGTAGATGGTCTCATTATACAGGTGGTCTCATCACTAAGGTGATTTGTTAATAATCACTAGTGGTCTCTTTACACAGGTGGCTTCTTTATACTGTTACTGGTGGTCTCATTAAACAGTTGGTCTCAAGATATACTGTTACACAATAATTACTCCGACACGTGGTATTTGAGTTAAATTTTATTTCATGCCGTGGTTACACAAGATCCTGTTTAAGTCCACCCCCATCTCCTGCTTAAGTTCCTACTCCCCTCTACAGGCCCGCACTGCCTTGTCTAACTCCCGAGCTCTAGTCTCCAACCACTCTCCTGCTCTTCTCCCGCTACTCCCTTTCTACTGTCTATTGTCTTAGTATTAATAATACCAAAACACTTCAATTCTAACTAAGCCCCGATTGGATGACAATACCCCACCCCGCGAGGCATATAATTATCAAGGCACGTGCAAGCTCATGTAACCTTATCTCAGAGATCCCGATGTACTTTACCGTCCAGTATGCTATCTACTCTGATCGACGATCCCTCCCCAGCTATCTCGCTACAGTGGCTAGGTGCATGAGGCACACCCTTGATATCTAAGGGCTACCAAACTGCCTGTCCATCACAGGACGTTAACCCTGGTCCAGTGCCTGACTTTTGACACCTGTTGTTATTGCTTCCAGAGAACCTGTTGTACTTTAAATTTCTGTTTTAAATTATATTCTCTAAATTGTATTTCTACTACCCATTTTGTTACAATACATGGCAGTATACTAGCTCCCAACTTGTATTTTTAAACTGAGGATACTGGTCGTCTCTAAAATGTATTATTACGAGAGAGTCCTTGAAAACCAGGGGTACAAGTCTTGAATTTCACCAATTTTTGATGTTTTATACTCTCACTTAAAGGTAATGGGCAACAGTGCATGGGTTATCTTGTAATACAGATGAACACAATGACAACCCCTTAACAGTACACAGATAGTCCCTTCACATAGGTGGTATCTTATAGTTAACACAAGTGGTCTCTTTACACAAGTGCTCTTTTAATAAACATGGATGGTATCTCAATACAACAGCTCACACTACACACTGATGGTCCCTTAACACAGGTGATTACATTACAAGGGTGGTCTCTTAAAACAAATGTCTTCTTCAGATGGGCATATCTTAACACAGGTGACCTCTTCATACAGATGTTCCATAGTTACAATGATGATCTCTTAACACAAGCGATCTCATTACATGGGTGGTCTCTAAACACAGGCGATCTCATTACATGGGTGGTCTCTAAACACAGGTGGCCTCTTACTACAGATGATAAATTGCTACAGTGATGGTCTCTTAACACAGGTGATACCTTTATAAAGGCCATGTGGTCATGTCGGACAGGCGAAATTGGTGGAAATACTCCCTGATCAGTTTAAAATTAGAATATGTAAATATAGCATTTTTATCGTGTGTTCATTTTGAAAGCGAGGCTGCAAAATCAGATATATCGGTTGTCCAACATCATCCGCACTGCATCTTCATTTGTTTTGCACTGGCATTTCTCTTCCATACTGCTGCCACCTCTCCGCCTGTTTCCTAATTGTGATTTCGTCAACATTTTTCGACTTTCTCCTCTTTTTCTCCGACACAGAAACCATTTTCTTTCGCCCTAAATGTGTCTCCATGGCAGTCACCATTTTCATTTATTTACAGTGTATTATGCAGGTAAAAAACTGTTGTGACGTCATCAGTGCAGCGTGAACACTTGTAAACAGATCTAGCTAGACTTAAATGGAATTTCCTCAAATAAATAGCGAAAAAGGATTTTCCAGGGGAAAACAAGTCATGCGATTTCCATAATAATATAAGAAGATGCTTTTGTACAATTTTTGCAAAAAGCATCTTATGAAATCTCAACTTGGGCAGAATATCACTTTCATTAGGATGGAATACAAGGGTTAAAAATTAGTACTGAAAAACTAGATTTTAGAAGAATAATTATTTATTTTCATGAATTCTGGAAAAATATCTTTTTTTTGCTTCAAGTTATTTTGGTAAAAACATGAAAAATTTCAAAAAAATTTTCTTTACAATATTAATGCTAGTGAATGTCTTTGGTAATGAAGGTTAGCATTCCTGATAGACTAAAACATCCTCAAAATGTTTGTGTTCTACCATATTTTCCCTTATTCTATGATTGTCTACAGATCAACAGAATAGTAAAGCTTTATGTACTAATTCAACTCTACTTATATCATGTCACTTCACGAAAGATTTTTGGGAGAGAAAAGTGACATGGTGATGTTGATTTGGTTTATCGCACAGGGACATAACCATGTAGCAGAGATCTGTCAATTTATCAGCATCCCCAGAAACACAAGTCCCAATGGGTAAGTTAGTCAACTTACTCACAAAAGATGGCATTCCACAATAGTGGACAATATATATATATTATCAAACTGAAAATAAAACAGCCATCAATAAGCTCTGTTTAAGTTCTATGATAGACTGGTTTTTTTTTACTCTTTAATACTATTTTTCCATTTTGTGTTTTGACAATATTTAATTGAGAAATTAGTTTACTGCAATATGAGAAAGCAAGTCACTTTAAAAATCTAATGTCTGTTTGTTTAGGCTTTAGTAGGAATAGTACGGTAGCAGTAAAGATAATTATTGTGTCACTATATATAGATTGATTCTACTTGAATGAAACACAGGCAGACTGTAATTACTCTGCTTAAAAACCTGTCGGTCGATCAAACGCTTGTGTTGTATACGTTTTTGATACTGATGTCTGTGATCAAAACCACAGGTCTCATCTGTCACATACGTAACATACAACTTCTCCCTTTAAGGGAATATATGTTATACCACTTGAATCGGACGTGAAATATGATTAACACTTTAAATGACAGGAATTTAAAAAAAAACATTTAAAAGGATTTCTGCTGGATCTTTAACTGTGTAAATAAATTTCACGTAACAAACATAAAAAGTGAAATTAAATGGTTGGTAACAGTTCGGTGGGTTGGTTTTTAAAATTTTGATCTGTTGATTGGTGCATGTTAAATCACCAATCGATGTATTGTCTCGTTAAGAAAAAGTCGTAAATCTCTATTATAAATCTACCAGGGATGATTTTCGAGCAGTTCCTTAACTCGACACGATAAATCGGATTGACAGAACTCATCCGTCAATAGCCTAAATATCTACGCCCCTGGCCGAAGTGACAGTTGTAATATGTACTACGTCAGGCTAAGAATGCCGGATTTCAAAACTTACCTGAATGAAACTCGCGCAGCACAGGACGAACAGCAACCATCGTGGTGTACGGAAACGTTGACAGAGACGTGGAGAAATGAACCACCACTTACAGGGACCGTTTTCAGTACTAGTCCTGTTGTCCTCGGGAGGGTCCATGTGATCCCCTCCCCCGTTCGCCACACCTACAGCACACATATTCAGTCCGTGTGTACCCGATAGTACAATAGTCCGACGCCTGTTTACATGTACACATACCTGAACAGTCACTCAGCCGTGACGCGTAAGTGACACGGGCAATAATCGGTGGCGATGTAATCTGTCATTGTCCACGCATAAGAACTTAAAGCAGAAACACTTCTCCTTAATAGCAATTTTAATGAGAATAAGTAAATCAACGTGTTTCTAATAAGTGTTTATACAAACGTAGGATACAACGATTGTTTACACCGAGAGGTTGCGGGGGGTATGGTAAGTTCTCTAGACCAGAATTTATGTTTTAACTACCTTGGTCTGCCGAATTCGGAACACAATCTCACTTTTTATTCCACTTAAATGATGTCACTAAAACGATCACTTAATTATGTGGAGCTATCACTAATTCATTATTGTGATAATCACGTGATCATTTAAGTGACCTCAGCGTAATGATGAAGAGATGTCTTTAATGTTACCGACTTAGAGTGATATTACCAATTCATTATGACGATATCACGTACAGAGTTTGAAAAGGTTAACAAAAACGATTTGAAGATTTCATTATAATCAACAGGTGATATTTCCTTAACGAAATGAGATCCCTATAACAGGAAGGCGATATCACTTTATTATCGTGACATCACCTATTTATTTCGTGACGTCATCAATTGAATTGGTGACATCATCTAATCATTTAAGTGATATCACTTAGTGGAATAGAAAGTAAAACGCCAGAATTATTCGGACGATTTCGAACGGTGAGTGAATGAGTGAAAAAAGACATATCAATTCCATATCCTACCTCTTAACTGTATTCTTTCGTCTGTATGTTATCGACTAAACCATAAATAAGTTGTCTCCCCTTTAACAGTTGTCTTCACTTCACTCACAGTCCCTCTCATTGATAAGATTTCATTATTTACATTATTTAAGATTTTCAATACGCGATATCTTCATGGACAATTCTCGTCATTGTTATTCAAAAAATGAGCTCACCAAACTCACAAATGTTATAACATATTCGAATAGTATCACAGTGAATGCATATTTTGTTAGTTGATATAAACATTCGAGTAGGTGATAGGTGATCGACTGATAAATATTATAATATCTATGGAATCTGCTTTCTGGTTTTAATATTGATAACAAATATTAAAAACCTTTCAGTGATGAGAATATATCACAAATGAAAAAGGGAGAACTTTGTTCATAAATTGAATTTGTGATATGAAGTGAGACGTGTTCGATGTTTCTATGTTCCGAGAATACGACAATACTTATGTAGATTGACCAAGATTCTCCCTGTACTTATTAGTCTGCGTGCACATCGTTATACTTTGTGCTACCTATTTATATCGATATGAGATTTTAAAATACGGTTTGATTGAGATGTTTTATTCTCTTGATATAATGTTCACTTTTACACCAGTGTCTTATGTCAAATTGGTATGTTTTCTGTCAAGCCTCTAACGATCAGCTAACAGATATGAAAAAGACAGAAATAATTTTTCTTCGTCCATTTTAGAATCAGGGAGATATGCTTTCTTTCCATCACACGAAGTTCTGCCCGTCGTTTTATTTATTTTTTTTGTATTTGCTTTTTGTTTTTGTTTTGTTTTTTGTTTTATGGAATTCGCACAACGCTGTTGGCTTTTAGTGACCCGTGTGGAGCGTTTGCAGAAGAGAATAGCAATGGAGAGATAGCACTGACAGTCGTGGAACCAGTCGGGAGATAGCACTAATGGTCGTGGAACCAGTCGGGAGATAGCACTTATGGTCGTGGGACCAGTCGGGAGATAGCACTAATGGTCGTGGGACCAGTCGGGAGATAGCACTTATGGTCGTGGGACCAGTCGGGAGATAGCACTAATGGTCGTGGGACCAGTCGGGAGATAGCACTAATGGTCATGGAACCAGTCGGGATATAGCACTAATGGTCGTGGAACCAGCCGGGAGATAGCACTAACAGTCGTGGAACCAGTCGGGAGATAGCACTAACAGTCGTGGGACCAGTCGGGAGATAGCACTAATGGTCGTGGAACTAGTCGGGAGATAGCACTAATGGTCATGGAACCAGTCGGGAGATAGCACTAATGGTCAGGAGATAGCACTAATGGTCGTGGAACCAGTCGGGAGATAGCACTAATGGTCGGGAGATAGCACTAATGGTCGGGAGATAGCACTAATGGTCGTGGAACCAGTCGGTTGATAACACTAACGGTCGTGAGACTAGTCGAAATTTAGCAGTAAAAGTCACGAGACTAGTCGGGAGATAGCACTAACGGTCGTGGAACCAGTCGGTTGATAACACTAACAGTCGTGAGACTAGTCGAAATTTAGCAGTAATAGCAGTGAGACTAGTCGGGAGATAGCACTAATGGTCATGGGACAGCAGTAATAGTCGTGAGACTAGTCGGGAGATAGCACTAACGGTCATGGTACAGCAATAATAGTCGTGAGACTAGTCGGGAGATAACACAAACGGTCGCGAGACAGAAGTAATAACCGTGAGACTGGTCGGGAGATAGCAGTAATAACCGTGATAGTAGTCGGGAGATAGCACTAACGGTTGTGAGACTGGTCGGGAGATAGCACTAACGGTCGTGAGACTGGTCGGGAGATAGCACTAACGGTCGTGAGATAGCACTGACGGTATTGAGACTGGTCGGGAGATAGTACTAACGGTATTGAGACTGGTCGGGAGATAGCACTAACGGTATTGAGACTGGTCGGGAGATAGCACTAACGGTCGTGAGACTGGTCGGGAGATAGCACTAACGGTATTGAGACTGGTCGGGAGATAGCACTAACGGTCGTGAGACTGGTCGGGAGATAGCAATAACGGTATTGAGACTGGTCGGGAGCCATACAGCGCTAACGAGAAATACCTATTTTATGATTTTGATTAATTAGTACAGGAATGAAAAAGCAACATCGTGAACAAATGTGTGTATGTAGAAAAGTGTATATGTTGCCGTAAATATCGAACCCAGTACATGTGTTGTGAAATTCTAAAATGAGTCAGCTAAGTTTTTTTCCTGACGGATTGTGTCGCTCTCTTGTAGTGTTATGAGGCTGCATCATCACCCAAGCTATACCATCAATTTCCAATTTCAATTGCTCCGTTAACGCGTGTGAACACGTTTTCCTATGGTATATCTGTGTAGGTTCAAGCACGGAATTCCATTTTAATATCAAGCCTATGGATCAAGGTGAATCTGTTGCCTTATTGGTACGAGGCATTCAGAAACCGAAGGGATTACTTTCTGTTATGAAAAATACATCGATGTCAACAACCAGTCTATTCAAGTTTCCAACTCCATTGCGTGTTTTTTTAATCACGAGTTGATATCACACACGTGAAACGTGGCCGGAGGTGCTATGTACTGTTTGATCAGTTAATTTGTGTAAAAATCTTTTATCAATGTAATTAACATCAGACATTTCACCAGGTCACTTTGTTTCCTGAGCCTCGTTACATGGAACAGGTTTAGAACAAGGAGTAAAATATTGTACGATTTTAATTGGATTGATTTATTTCCATTCAGGTTTTTGTTAAAAAGATTATCATGATCAGTAATTACTGGTAAGTAGTGTGTTGTATTATCACAATTACTGGTATCAGAATCCGACTGACTGGGTCAGACGGGTACAACGACTTCCGACACCTTGCGTGTCGTTTCGTTACAAAAACTAAAGAACCAAGTTATTGGATATGTTGTCAGCATACTTGTCTAAAACTGATATTTTTTCTGTGTGGTCAATTCTCCATCCTAATTTTTCATATGTTGTACCTTCAATAATAGTTTTGCTGGTTAAACGCCTCTTCAATATTAATCTGCAGAGTCTAATAGATTCCGCCGGGAAAATGTCATTGCTCTGTCTAGAACTACCATACATACAATGGTTAGTGCTTACAATATCTGTTTTATCCATTCTATATTAAGCATTAAATATTGGCTCACGGTTTCCCACAATTCGGGATATCGTGTGTTGTGTTTGCTTTGTATACATTTATATTTCATGAGAATGAGACAGGGCTTTTTTCCAAATTCACTTGCATGTAGTTGTATCAATGTTTACTCCTCTGTTTCTGCTTCATTTCAGAATATTTTATAATAATGAATTTGTCTGACAAAAGGAATTGGACATCAGGCATAGCCTATTAAAGTCCAATCCTTGCTTTTTTAACCAAATTACACATCAGTCTGATAACGTATAGATACAGTGATAAATATTAAATACTTACAGTTCTAGTGTTAATAATATCACTCAATGACTGGGACAAGAATCAGTCCGAAACTTAACTTGTATGGAAGGCAGCAAAGACAAATTGTCCATACATATTCACCTTCATTTGCTGAATTCATACATATTCACCCTCCTTTGCTGAATCCATACATATTCACCTTCCTTTGCTGAATTCCTACATATTCACCCTCCTTTGCTGAATTCCTACATATTCACCCTCCTTTGCTGAATCTATACATATTCACCCTCCTTTGCTGAATTCATACATATTCACCCTCCTTTGCTAAATCCATACATATTCACCTTCCTTTACTAAAGTCATACATATTCACCCTCCTTTGCTGAATCTATACATATTCACCCTCCTTTGCTGAATTCATACATATTCACCCTCCTTTGCTGAATCCATACATATTCACCTTCATTTGCTGAATTCATACATATTCACCCTCCTTTGCTGACTCCATACATATTCACCCTCCTTTGCTGACTCCATACATATTCACCCTCCTTTGCTGAATTCCTACATATTCACCCTCCTTTGCTGAATCTATACATATTCACCCTCCTTTGCTGAATTCATACATATTCACCCTCCTTTGCTAAATCCATACATATTCACCTTCCTTTACTAAAGTCATACATATTCACCCTCCTTTGCTGAATCTATACATATTCACCCTCCTTTGCTGAATTCATACATATTCACCCTCCTTTGCTGAATCCATACATATTCACCTTCATTTGCT